CTCTCTCTCTCTCTCTCTCTCTCTCTCTCTCTCTCTCTCGTGTTGAAGGAGATTGTTTATGAGTTGCGCGAGTGTTTTCTTTTCTTGATGACGTCACAAGGTCTTTACAATTGATTGATATGTGGACTGACCAGTACCCTCTGGTCGGGCACCAGCCTCCCGTACCTCCCGTCCCAACACGGCCTTTTCCCTATAACGAGGGAAGGACACGTGTATGTGAGTGGGACGTACGTGAAGTCGTTGCACAAATTGGCGGAGAATACTACTTCCCTCCGGCAAATCGTTGTTCAGGGTTCGTAGAGGCTGGGTTTGTCATTATCGATATGCACTTCCCACCTTACTCGATATTGTTACCATTCAACGAGTTGATCGTCATTCTGTGGACGGCAGTAGAACCCCACTGGCCGCGCACTCTATGCACCGAATGCCAGCGTTTTGAGCGCTACGAATCCAGGGGTTTACACTACCGTGTGCGGAGTGAAGACGAGCATAAAGAAAGAGCCACGCGGCTGAGACCATCCACGTCGGACTCGGAACTGACCATCGAACGACGACGAGATTTGATACGAAAACGAGACACGCGGAGCCTTTTCGTTCTAAACGACGGGCTGTAGCCCGGTGGGAAGCCCGACAATACTTTTTGGATTGAATTTGGATTTTTCTCTTTTCGCGCCGTGCCCGCGCGCGCATTCCGCGACGCGCGAAAGCAATCGACTTGCTTCATTGGACCAACACGGGGGATTTCAGTTCCATCTGTGTCCCCACACTCAATTTCCAAAAATCCTTGGCACACCCCATCTTGCTGTTTTTCTGGGCCTTTTTCCGCACGCCTAACACTCCGAACGAAAGACAGCACAGGGCGTGAGGTTGCGCGTCTCCAGCCCCAAAGTAAGGCACTCACTAAGGGCCTCGCCACACCACTCTTGAAACGGGGAAGTTTTTCAAGAGCTGCCAGACGTTCTCAAGAGTTGGGTTTTCAAGAGTTTTCGGCCCCTCGCCACACAGCACTCTCTAAACGGCTACGGTACTGGACAAAGGACGCAAAAAGACAGTCGTACAGCTTTGTTTCTTTAGAATGGCGTCAGGATAACGGGCTGACAACTCTCTAAATCGATAGTCCCTCTAGGGTTCGGCCAAGGACACTTGAAAATGCACGCAGGCAGGCTGGGGTTTTGAATCTTTCAAGAGCTGCTCTTGAAAGGGTTTCAAGAGCCACTCTGACAGCTTTTGACTGCGGCAAGTTTCAAGAGGCTGTGTGGCTATGCAGCAACTCTTGGGGTCTCGCTACTCTAGAAACCAGCCATTTCTTGAGCTCGGCACCGCTCCACTAACTCTAGACGCGAAGTCTGGAATTCGGGTTCTTGAGCTGTCAGTATCTACTCACGAAAATGGCAAGAATCCGTCATCGCTCCACTACCTCATGAAACACACTCACGAAAACAATTTTCATGAGTTGTCAGAACATCCTCTCCCGTGGCACTCTTGACGTTTCCAGAGCGGCCGCCTGCAGCGGCGGGAATTTCAAGGGAGGCAGCAAGGACCTTCGAAAGTTGAGCATTGTTATGGAGTGCACCTGGAGTCTGGGCGGACAATAACCTGCTGGTCGTGTCGTGTAGCTCTCTCAAAGAGCGTTCTGACATCCGAGAGGCCTTCTCAAGTTCTACCTTCTGGAGTGATGTTCTCTTTTTCAGTCTTTTCTAGAGTCTGACAGCTCTAGACTCACTCTCGAAAATCTTCAAGAGTCTAGAGTAGTGGAGCGAGACCCTTGAAAATGGGTTTTCAAGAGTGGTGTGGCGAGCATGAGCGGTGTGGCTGTGTGGCGAGCTAGAAAAAAAAAAAAAAAAAAAAAAAAAAAAAAAAGAGTGGTGTGGCGAGGCCCTAAGTCATGAGCTAGGAGCTAGAGCTACCCAGTACGGTACCACCACTGAGCGAGGGACATTTTCCCTTCCAACGAGATATCTGCAAAAGGTCCATCTTTGGCCCACGTCTTTTTTTCCTTTTTTCTTTGAAACAGTCCGGGTTGCTGCTTGGGGTGCTCATAAGAGCACACACCACTAGCACTCCCGGAGAGGCTCCATCTACTGGTGGGGAGCGGCACCTGCTATCTTTGGCCCACGTCTAACCAAACGAGATCACCTTCTTATTTTGCGAGTCCGATATGACAGTTAGCTAATTTAGGAACATATTGACCGGTCCTATTTCTCCAATGAAGACTTCGGTATTTCGTGCAGACCAGATAGAAGTAGCCATTATGATCCCTCCGCAGACAAATGCAAAATAGTTACCACCTGCAGAGTATCCGTTTAGTGTAGTAGGGAGAATTGCAAACAGAATGAACTCTTCCGTCTAGTCAATAGTCTGATTAAGCTGTAACTTCCACTTTTCTGTCCACCATTCCCAAATCTGAGTGGTTTTGGGGCAGACCAACCAAAAGTGGGTCGCAGACTCCCAGCCTCATTGGCAACGAATACAAAAGTGGATGAAAGGTTGTGACTTGCAAGGACCGGAACCAAGCAAGTGCTGCGTGTTTTTGGTACGGTATCTGCTTCAGAGCCTTACATAAATTAAACATATCGGACTCTGTAACTGAAAAGCATAGAATATTAGACAGTCTTTTTCGAGTAGTCACTATAGGTTTCGTCTGTACTCTACGACGGAGGATCTGAACTCCTATTTAACCATGAATAAATGGGACCCGCGAACTACAATTCCCAAAGAATGAAACAGGAAAGGAAAAAGAAAAGGCAACTCCATAGAACAACAATGCTTATGCCAATTCCGTAACCCATCTACTAAAATCCATCTTTTGACTCTCTCTCTCTCTCTCTCTCTCTCTCTCTCTCTCTCTCTCTCTCTCTCTTTATTTCTGTGTCCCCTTGCGCCGCGTGTTGACCAGCAAGACACG